TCTCTAACGTAAAGGATTCACCTCCTATTATTTGTTGCATCCGACTGTCGACTCTCTCGGCGGTGCTCTTAGTTCACTCAAGCATTTCTCTTTCAATTATGTTGTTTGATGCCAAAAATGCCACAACAATTTGCCTCTTCATGGCCCACAACTTCTGAAAAGTGGTTCTCACTTTTAACTGGTCACTGTTTAATGCAATAAGTTAGTATGCTTGGTTGCGATAAAGATATAGTGGCAGAAGCATTCATGTCTCTGGCAGAGTTAAAGACGCATTGCTCGAAGCAAGCAAGTTAACCTTTCCTCAAACATGCATTATCGAGAAGGAAGGTGACGCACATCTCGTTCCTCCGGTGGGGGCTGTACACTTCCCGACATTTGCCTAAAAGGGATATTAGAAAACTCGTTACTATATTGCACGTCCTGCGTATAGAGCGCAGCTTCATTTATCTTTATCTTTCCCTTCGTCCCTGCAGAGGTGGAACTGGAGTTAGATCCAATTTGACAGAGAAATCCGACTTCAAGCCCTACTTTTGGCAAAGCTGAATAAGGATGATGACATTCAGCGAATGCGCCTCAGAAGACCAAAGTGATGATTTCATGGCAAGAAGCCACTCTATCATAAAACCAAAGTCAAGTGGGCACTTTGAACTTTCCCTTTTCGGGTAGAAGCCGCATGGTAGCGTATTATATGCAGATGCCAAAATCGCCATGCTTGTGTCAAGGATCGAGATATTTGAGATCAACAAGCTCCGTAGAAGGGCTTAGCAGTCAAATGCTGATGCATTTCATAATGACTAGAAGAAGATGCAAAAGGAGGAGCAGAGTGGTTACATATGTTGCCGCAAGCATTCGGCTTGGAAGTGAATGTGACTGGGTACAAACTGCTGACATCGTTTCTACCACACTGTGTCCGCAGCCGCCACATAAATGTGACATCCCGGTTTTTGTGCATAGTAGGTACCAAATATAGCATAGATACAAATAACAGCACCACCATGATATCCATGGGCACAAAATAACGCAAGTGTAGCTTTAAAGTATAGAACAAATTTATGTTTTAGATGTGCTGGAATAAATCACCGGCACAAAATAACCTGCCAATTATAAGCAAATATTAAAATTTACACATCAGGTGACATGCATTCTCGAAGCTATATCATTATATGCACAAAATAGAGCAATGAGTGAATTGAGAATGTCACCCTTCGCCTCCACATGTATTCCTTGCGCACCCATTTGTGATCAAAGGTTTACTGTAAGTAAGACTTATCATCCCCAAGACATGCATTTCTTCGACAAGGCTTCAATGTTTTAATAACTATAGACCATAAGGAATATTGTATGCAATGCAAATTACTATGCATTTTAAATTATTTTGTGTGTGCTTGCGTAAAATTGCCGATGATTGGAAGTAGAAACTGGCATATTGGCACTCACCAATCCCTAGTATGCCAACTACTCACAGCTCATTGAAAATTAGTCTCCTTATAGTTATCGGTTTCAAATTTGTATATTTAGGTCAAACTAAAGTGGATGTGTTGCATACATACACATTCACTGAAAGAAATTGGCATCAGGGATTTTGAGCCAGCGGTCTGCTTGATATTCGCCATTCGGAATGTAGCCA